AAAGGGTTAAAATTGGATTTTTGGAGGGTTTAAAGGAATTTTTGGGGTGAAAATTGGAAGGTTTTGGGTGTAAATGGGATTTTGGGCTGGTGGAGCCGAGGACGAGGAGGAGGACTGAGCGTTCCCGAAAAACGGGAATTCCCGGAATTCCGTCAGTCCGGGGGGCGCTTCGGGGGCGTTGGAAGGGTTAAAATCGGGTTTTTTGGGGTTAAAATTGGGGATTTTGGGGTTAAAATTGGGTTTTTGGGGGGTTTAAAGGGTTAAAATTGATTTTTGGCAATTTTGGGATCTGGGTTTGGAATTTTGGGATCTGGGGCTGGAATTTCGGGAATTTCGGGATCCGAGGTTGGAATTTTGGAATCCAAGGTTGGAATTTTGGGAATTTTGGGATCTGGGGCTGGAATTTCGGGATCCGGGGCTGGAATTTCGGGAATTTTGGGATCCAAGGTTGGAATTTTGGGAATTTTGGGATCTGGGGCTGGAATTTCGGGATCCGGGGCTGGAATTTCGGGAATTTTGGGATCCGAGGTTGGAATTTCAGGATCCGGGGCTGGAATTTCGGGAATTTTGGGATCCGAGGTTGGAATTTTGGGATCCAAGGTTGGAATTTTGGGAATTTTGGGATCTGGGGCTGGAATTTCGGGAATTTTGGGATCCGAGGTTGGAATTTTGGGATCCGAGGTTGGAATTTCGGGATCTGGGTTTGGAATTTCAGGATCTGGGGCTGGAGTTTTGGGATTTTTGGGATCTGAGGTCGGAATTTCGGGATCTGAGGTTGGAATTTCCGGATCCGGGTTTGGAATTTCGGGATCTGAGCCTGGAATTTTGGGATTTTTGGGATCTGACTTCAGAATTTCGGGATCCGAGGTTGGAATTTTGGGATTTTTGGGATCTGGGGCTGGAATTTCGGGAATTTCCGGATCCGAGGTTGGAATTTCGGGATCCGGGGCTGGAATTTTTGGAATTTCGGGATCCGGGGCTGGAATTTTGGGAATTTCGGGATCTGGGGCTGGAATTTTGGGATTTTTGGGATCCGAGGTTGGAATTTTGGGAATTTTGGGATCCGAGGTTGGAATTTCGGTATCCGGGGCTGGAATTTTGGGATCTGGGGCTGGAATTTTGGGATTTTTGGGATCTGAGGTTAAAATTTCGGGATCCAAGGTTGGAATTTTGGGAATTTCGGGATCCGGGGCTGGAATTTTGGGAATTTCCGGATCCGAGGTTGGAATTTTGGGATCCGGGGCTGGAATTTTGGGAATTTCCGGATCCGGGGCTGGAGTTTTGGGAATTTTGGGATCTGGGGCTGGAATTTTGGGATTTCCGGATCCGACGTTGGAATTTCGGGATCCGGGGCTGGAATTTTGGGATTTTTGGGATCTGAGGTTAAAATTTCGGGATCCAAGGTTGGAATTTTGGGATTTTTGGGATCTGGGGCTGGAATTTCGGGAATTTCGGGATCCGAGGTTGGAATTTCGGGATCCAAGGTTGGAATTTTGGGAATTTTGGGATCTGGGGCTGGAGTTTTGGGAATTTCGGGATCCGGGGCTGGAGTTTTGGGATTTTTGGGATCTGAGGTTAAAATTTCGGGATCCGGGGCTGGAGTTTCGGGAATTTCGGGATCCGGGGCTGGAATTTTGGGAATTTTGGGAATTTCGGGGCCCCCCGTGATGGCAGCACTGGGCTCTGACCCCTGATGGATCCCTGTGCCCCTCCCCCACGCGGGGGGGTCTGAGGGGGCCCCAAATCCCAAATCCCCCAATTTGGGG